GAAGCTAGAATTATGATCGACAACTGTTTTATCTATTTGCTATGCAATATTAGTGTATTTCTTGCTTTTTTATCATTTAGTGTAGCTTAATTCTCATTGCTTTCAGACAAAAAAAAATTTTCACCAAAAATGTCTTATAAAAATAGTGAAAAACATGACATTCTAATGAGCCATTATTCGAAGCTGAAATTATCATTGATAATTATTTCAGCTATTTGTTATGCTATATTGGTGTATTTCTTGCTTTTCTGTTATTCGGTCTTGCCCGACTTACATTGCTACCAGACAGAAAAATTTTAACCCAAAAAATGTCCCCTAAAAATAGCAAAAAAAAATGACATTCTAAGGAGCCATTATGTAAAGCTAAGATTATAATTGGTCATTCTTTCAGCTATTTGCTATGATACATAAATGTACATTTCACTTTCCTATTATTCTGCAGATCCTTTTTCTTATGTCTTTGAGACAGAAACTTTTAACTAAAAAATATATTAGTGTATTCCGTGTAATCTGAAGACATGTACATGTAAGTGTCAAATTTTTCAGCTTCATGAAAATAACAGACAGGATTTCAGTATTACTTTGCAGAAAATATTTTATGTAGCCCTACACTAATTATACTGCGTACTAATTGTGTTGGGGTAATGTTCGGGCACGGTCCATGGAGAAAGGCAGTGATGTTTCTTGCAGTAGAGTATTCTTCGGTAAAACCATTAAACGCCAATCATTTAAAGCAAAGAATCAACAATGTTGCGAATTAATTGTCTCTCCACGTTTTTTTTAAAGTAAATGCAGCATGTTTATAATAAAATTAAAAGTAATACCTAATAAGTGGGCATGATCGTTGATATTCTATAAAAGCATGAGGTTTCGATCATATTAAAAATATTAAAGCGAATTATTAAGTAACGAGATGCATAGCAGAGCGAGAATAATAGATAAAAAAATGAAGTTCAGGTTTGAGTGCTAACATAAGGAAAAAATTAAAATATTCTGAAAAATGTCCTTCAATTATAACTCGCAATTGTCGATGAGTATTAACGTGAATCTTTTTGCTCGTAGATATACGAACAATTCCTTCTAAATTGTGAGTTAAAACACAGTATCCATGTATTGTCCCAATCAAATTGATGAATCAATGAATATGAATTTTCCTCAATTTCTGCATCATTTCCTGCAATGGTAAACTCTTCTATTTTCAGACGAATCTTGAGCAACTTCTTACAGCATAGAAATTGGTATCCTCCCCACTCCATTATATGGACCAATAGTCTTTCCGTATTTGGGACATTTGAGGTTCCCCACCCTGCCATTTTCCTAGTGGGTGTACTCCCAACCAGCCTATATAAGACGAAGAATACCTGCAAAAATTCATATTTCCATAAACCAATATGTGCACTCAACACGCACTGAACGACTTCTCTTTCTCTTTCGAGGAATCTCTGGATTCGATCTACGATTCAATATCGGCCGTCGACGAGCTATATGATGAGTATGTAGCTGATAAAGGCAATGCAGAATCATCAGAAAATTTTAAGACCCCCAAAGCTCTCGATTGCCGATATTGCTCGAAACAGCTGTATTGTCGTATGGCAAAAAAGCAGCACGAAATGTCACACATCAAGAAGCTCTTAAGGTGTGCATTGTGCAAACGCCGAATGAAGAATTCGAGCGAGTTTAAACGTCACATGGGGTACTATCATCTTGGTAAGCTGATGAAAACCTATGTCTACATCGATTAGAGTAGACAATGCAATTCTAATCATAAAACGGTTCTTTTCAGAGCCATCAATTCGATCTAAACGTAGATACTTCAAGGGCCCTTCAAACTGAAAAATATAATTTATAATTATTTTTGATAATTTCTATGCTACATAGGTGGACAAAATACATGATATTTTGATGGACATTATCTAAAGCTGAAATTATAGTTAATAATTATTTTAGCTATTTAATACGATACATCGGTGTATTTTTTGCTTTTCGATTGTTCTGCGGATCCTGTTTTTTATTTACTTCAAACAAAAAAAAATTCAAGCCAAAAACGTCTTATAAAAATAGCGAAAATCATGACATTCTAATGAGCCATTATTGGAAGCTGAAATTATGATTGATAACTGTTTTAGCTATTTGCTATGCTATATTAGTGTATTTTTTGCTTTTCTGTTATTCGTTCTTGCCCGATTTACATTGCTACCAGTCATAAACATTTTAACCCAAAAAAGTCCTCTAAAAATAGCGAAAAAGATAACATTCTAAGGAGACATTATTTGAAGCTAGAATTATGATTGACAACTGTTTGATTGATGATTATTTTAGCTAGTTATGCTATATTAGTGTATATCTTGCTTTTTTATCATTTAGTGTAGCTTAATTCTCATTGCTTTCGGACAAAAAAAAATTTTAACCAAAAATGTCTTGTAAAAATAGTGAAAAACATGACATTCTAAGGAGACATTATTTGAAGCTAGAATTATGATTGACAACTGTTTTATCTATTTGCTATGCTGTATTAGTGCATGTCTTGCTCTTTTATCATTTAGTGCAGCTTAATTCTCATTGCTTCCAGACGGAAAAAAATTTTCACCAAAAATGGCTTATAAAAATAGCGAAAAACATGACATTCCAATGAGCCATTATTGGAAGCTGAAATCCTGATTGATAACTGTTTTAGCTATTTGCTGTGCTATATTAGTGTATTCCTTGCTTTTCTGTTATCCGTTCTTGCCCGAATATCATTGCTACCAGACATAAAAATTTTAACCCAAAAAAGTCCCCTAAAAATACCGAAAAAGATGACATTCTAAGGACACATTATTTGAAGCTAAAACTATGATTGACAACCGTTTTCAATATTTGCTATGCTATATTAGTCTATTCCTTGCTTTTCTATTTTTCGGTCTCGTCCGATTTACGTTGCAACCAGACAGAAAAATTTTAACCTAAAAATGTCCCCTAAAAATAGCGAAAAAGATAACATTCTAAGGAGACATTATTTGAAGCTAGAATTATGATCGACAACTGTTTTATCTATTTGCTATGCAATATAAGTGTATTTCTTGCTTTTTTATCATTTGGTGTAGCTTAATTCGCATTGCTTTCAGACAAAAAAAAATTTTAACCAAAAACGTCTTGTAAAAATAGTGAAAAACATGACATTCTAATGAGCCATTATTGGAAGCTGAAATTATGATTGATAACTGTTTTAGCTATTTGCTATGCTATATTAGTGTATTTCTTGCTTTTCTATTATTCGGTCTTGCCCGATTTACATTGCTACCAGACATAAAAAATTTAACCCAAAAAAGTCCCCTAGAAATAGCGAAAAAGATGACATTCTAAAGAGACATTAATTGAAGCTAGAATTATTATTGACAACTGTTTTAGCTATTTGCTATGCTATATTAGTGTATTTCTTGCTTTTTTTTTATTCGTACCTTCCCGATTTGGGATTGCTACCGGACATAAAAATTTTAACCCAAAAAAGTCTCCTAAGAATAGCGAAAAAGATAACATTCTAAGGAGACATTATTTGAAGCTAAAACTATGATTGACAACTGTTTTAAAAATGTCTTATAAAAATAGTGAAAAACATGACATTCTAATGAGCCATTATTGGAAGCTGAAATTATGATTGATAACTGTTTTAGCTATTTGCTATGCTATATTAATGTATTTTTTGCTTTTCTATTATTCGGTCTTGCCCAATTTACATTGCTACCAGACATAAACATTTTAACCCAAAAATGTCTTATAAAAATAGCAAAAAAAAATGACATTCTAAGGAGCCATTATTTCAAGCTAAGATTATAATTGATCATTCTTCCAGCTATTTGCTATGATATATAAATCTACATTTTAATTTTTTATTATTCTGCAGATCCTTTTTCTTATGTCTTTGAGATAGAAAAAGTTTAACCTAAAAATGTCTTATAAAAATAGTGAAAAACATGACATTCTAATGAGCCATTATTTGAAGCTAGAATTATGATTGACAACTGTTTTAGCTATTTGCTAAGCTGTATTAGTGTATTTCTTGCTTTTTTATCATTTGGTGTATGGTTGGACCAGAGAAAGAGTCGTCTTCGGGTTTTTTCGGGCGAAGTACCCCCACCATAACTAAAATAATAAGCTCATGCGCCTAGCTGGATCTTGTATTACTACGCCGCGCGGTGAATATAAAAAAGCACATGTTTGATTTATCAAATAGCTTTTTTATTATTAATGTATATTTATAATAAGAATATAGGGTTAATCAGATAACTTGAATAAAAACCACAAATTATTAAGAGAAATTTTCTCGATAATTCTTTTAATTGTTAAAATATAAATATATTTATAATATTGTAGTGAGATAATTATAATCATCATAATCGCAACTTCATTATGTCTTTACTGTCATTTGGACCTTCACCTAATCGTTTATAATACCTTTCTTCAATAAGCCTGAAAAAATAACATTACATTTAATCAGATGAAAATCGATCAAACGTTGGAGTTGTAGTGCTTTGGATTGTATTAAAAATTGATCTCAATGTCAGTAAATAAGCGAACTTGATTCCAAAAATTGAAAGAACATTTTTATCAAATGAAGGTGTTTAAATTACGTAAATCATTGAAAATGTATATGGAATAAATAAAATTAAGTAAATTATTTGAGGGCATCTTACCCACAGTACCGATATATCTCCCGATATAAAAGTGGGCTAAGAAATAAAAAAAAATGACTATTTTTCATATGTCAATTAAATATGAGACCAAAACACTAAAAGTCAGATATTTAATATTTTTTAAATCTAATATAAGCTTTACAGTAATTGACATGTCAAATACACTTTCTGGCACGTATTCTATTCATTGATTTATCATTAAGAACGTCGAAAATTGAAATTTTGCCAACAACTGTGCTGCCTATCTCATGAAACTTATAATTTTTAATTTTCTACTCAATTTTTAAGATTAGTAGGTTAGTATAGTTATCACGGAATTTTTTTTATTACTCACTTTTCATCGGCTATTTTCTTATTTTCTTCATCCCTTTGCGACGATACGATTCGATCTATTATCGTTTTTAACCTGCAACAATACATATTTCATGTCCAAAATAAATATCATTATAATTGATTTATTACATATACCTTTGAACAGGTTCTTTAACTCTTGTTTCAGCATCTTGAAGACAAAGCTTTCTAGCACGACTTACTAGCGTAATTTTACTACAAGATAAGAAATGCGCTAAGTGGCCGTAAACCTGCGACCTTATTGTTGATGACTCTGTAGCGCGTAATTTTTTTTCTAAGCTGAAAATCCATCAATTGTTTATTTATTATTAAATATATATTATTAAATATTCCATTGGTTATTTACTAAATAATAATTAAAACAAGTGATTACCTTAACAATGTATCATTAACAGAAGTACCAAAAAATTTTATTTTTCCTTCTTTACTATTTTCAGCATGCTTTTTAAGCTTTGTAATAATTTCTTTTACATCTTCTGGAAGATTATCTGGTAAACGAATATCAATTTTTTCAGCATCTTCACATTCCGATGATGTCCCAGCTGTGCATCGTGATTTACCAGAATCTATTGTGTCTCGGCTAGATTCATCATCAAGTTTACCATCATTCACAACACTTTCAATAGCATCATCTATATTATTATCTTTACCGGAACATTTTTTTGATTCAACCTTCTTTTCTTCAGTGCCATTTGTAATATTTTTTTTCGCTAATTTTTTTTCTTTTGATCTAGATGCATCACATTGCAGCCTCTTTCTCTCTTCTTGATTTTCTATAAAACTATTGTCTACTTCCATACTGTCATTTTTTTGCCTAATTGAGTTATCACCATGTGAATGATCATGATTTTTTTTCTTCCGTTTTACCCCATTATCATAAACAGATTTCTTTTCACAGTTATCATCTAATTTTAATTTCTGTAAAAATGGTGATATTATAATAAGTATTAATGTTAAGTTGTTTTAATATTTATTTATTTACCTTGGTTATTGGTCCGTTGAGAACTTCTTCAGTATCATCATCATCTGATGTGTCAAGATCTCTTTCTCTTCGTTTAGAATCTGGACTATCTTCTTCATCATCATCACTACTTTCGCTTTGATTTGTTTCTTTGACACTAAATTCTAAAGGTCCACTGTTAATATAAAAACCTCCGTAAGCAGTATTTACTCCTTCAGGAACAACTTCATCATACTATTCGAGTAAATTAATTAAACAATTGTTAATATTTATAATAAGTTTAATTAATATTTATTACTAATGTACTCACCGCGTCTGTATTATCTATAAAGGGATCATTCTCATCATATCCTGCTCCAAGATCAACTTCGTCATATTTTTTCTTTTTCTTTCCGGTCATTTGAGTTGGTCCCTAATGACACATTATATTAATATAATTTAATAAATAGATAAATAAAACAAATAATATAATTCAAAGTTTCACCGTACATATTTAGCTTCAAATTTTCGAGCTACTTCTTTTAATTTGGCATCATCATTATCATCGAAAGGATCCAATCCATTCGAAACATTTTCACTGAGATTTTTCAACTCCTTAGCTTTCTTTTTCTGAAAAATAATTTTTTTTATTTATTGAAATGAGTATGGAATGTTTTTTTTTAATTACTGAAATTTTTTGACTGTTTAAACTATTTTTTGTTTTATCTCTTTTCTGCAGATTTAATCCCCATCGATTAGTTTCTTTATGATTTGCTTTATGTGCGTTCAAAGTATAAGAAAAAATACTAACATAATTTGTTTTTAAAAAATTATAATGTAATGAAGTAAGAAAAGAAAAATTTATTACAAACATTAAACAAAAAGTACGAAACTCTATTACGTTACTCAATGATCTTTTTCCATTTTTTGCTCTTATTGAAAGAATGAATTAAAGAAATGAAATGATTAAAATATTTATGATAATAACAGATTTCATGATAAATATCAATTCAAATAATTTACCTCCAAGTAAATCTATAGCTTCATTAGATATTGCTCTTGGGAATTTTACTTTTTCGAGAAAAATTAAAGTAAATAATTTCTCATGATCATTTCAATTATGAAATGGAAGACCACTGTATATCTTTTTATACATCACAACACCAATACTCCACCAATCAACAGCACCTCCATAATCGTTATCCTCTAGAACTTCTGAAGCTTAATATTCTGGTTTACTGTAGAATATCTCTGTTGATCGTCCTGAATATTCGAAAAATTAATTAATTAAATAATCAAGAAATTGATAACAAATAATCTCTCCTAATGAAAAGTAGAAACTATTCAAGAAAAATAAAATGCATTAAAAAGAAATTAAATGTTCAATCAATTTAAAATCAAAAACAAAATATCGAAATTAAATTCAATACTTCATTGGAATTATTCTTGCTAATCATGTGGTTTAAGAAACAATTTTGATCCTAATAAACACATAGTGTAAGATCTATTATAAAAACATAGTTATCATTTCAAGTTATAGAAATAATTATTCAAAGTATTTCAGATAGAAAGAACCAAAAAAATAAATAAAATAAAACAGGAAACAACTCACCATAAGTTATGTCTTCTTGACATAGTCCAAAATCAGCGATTTCAATATAACCATCTTTGTCCAGCAAAAGATTTTTCAGATGCAAATCTCTGCAAATAATCTCTTGAGAATGAAAATAATTCAAAGCAGATATTCTTTCAGCACCGTAAAACCTCGTACGATCTTCCCTGAAAACACCAATGACAAAAATCAATTTCATTCATTTTCGGTAAACTTAATATTAACTCTTACAGAATATTACATTTAAAAAATATACTTAGCTTCTAAGGTTTCGATTTCACATACATCACATGTTTAATACTGACACCATCTTCTGTACCATCCTCATCACTGCTGTTGAAACTTAGTACAGTTTCAATCTCCTTGAAAACTTTGAATTTTTTCCTAATCGGGAGACAGTCATGTGGAGATACATGACTGCCCGCTCAACTACCCAATGACGACTCAGAAAGGTGACCAATCCCGGCCATACTCAACCACAGGGTGACTTGTCCGCGTCAACCAGCACTGGCGAGGTTCTTGCCCGCCTGTTGCTGCGGCAAGTCATCCTCCTGGTTCGTGTCTCGCATGCACATCGCACGTGCTTAGTGACGCTCATCGGTTCAATTCAGTTTTTAAGTGAAATACTCAATGTTTGGGCCCAAAATCAACTCATAAGTGTTTGTATCATCCTCAAGATCATTTTGATGTTTTATAAGCTCAACAAAAATCGAAGTGCCACTCTGTAACGAGAGATTATTCATCGCGCCGCGGTACCGGCATTATTCAAGTGTTGTGTCTCACTCACTCATCCTACAACCATTGCCTGGCTCATGAGACAACACATAGACAGTGCGTTAGGCGTGAAGAACTCATAATTACTAGTAAACTAAATCATAAGAGAAGAACTCATAGACTTAAATTTTTCTTCATAATACTGTGATAGTGATTATATATATATTTTTTAAGAAATATATCCGTTTTTTGTTCAATACGAAAACACGTGTTAAGAGAATCTTTTTTCACCCACTGCTGGGTGTATCGACCTACATTCATCCATCCGAAAAGATTACAGTCCACTCCCTGTCACCTTAGCGATACAAATTAATTTTAATTATTAAGTTTTCTGATCTTAATCGCAACATTTTTTGGTCCTTCGAGCCGGATAAGGCACCTTATCCGGTTTCGCTAACTCCATTGTGAAAAAAGATTCTCGTCTAGACTCAATTCAAAAGACATTCCAGTGCTCAGTGACACTCATATTTGTTGATAGACACAGAAGTGCTCAACTTCAGTTTGGTGTATTGACTCAACTTTTTGAATTTATTTCAAACAATTTTTGATGTACACTAAAGTGACTCAAGTGAAATAAAATTCAAGTGAAATAATTCAAGTGAATTATACTCAAGTGTAAACAACTCAAGAAGGCTGGACATTCCTTGGTTGGTGACAACAACGCGAAACAAACATTTTTTGTGGGAGAATAAACTCAAACTTCAAGTGCTTGGTGAACACTTGATTATCAAAATTATATTGATCAGCTCATTATTATTATTATTCATTTTGTTCTTCTCTGAAACTCAACTCAATTGAAATTATTATTTTCCTTGTAATATTTTTTTTTGTGAAAAACTCATTCACAAGGTTTTTGTTCTTTTGTTAACCAAGACAAATCATTCTTTTTCTCAATTAATTAATTAATTAATCAATTCATTAATTCACTTCAAAATTGATTATTTTCTTGAATTACATCCAAAATAATTTTTCTGTTCATTTTGGTTGTAAAAATATTAACAAACTCAACATAACACCTCAGTCTTATACGTACTGAATTTTTTAGATAATCAAAAATGGTTGACAAACGTGTAATTAAGCCATCATCTGATTTTCACGTGGACTCAGAGGAAGGTGTGGAAGCTGGCCACGAGACGCCAGAAACAGTTATTAATCCAGGCACCCCTCAGCAAGCAGCTGATGAAACTCACTCATCACAACAACATGAGCATCTCAACGTCCCACCAAAGGAATCACAGCAGAAAAAAGGATCTAGGTCACCGTCTCCTGACTTGACTGGTCCAACTAGCTTCAAGATTGCAACTCAAATGGCTCGACTCAACCAATTGAGAAGGATGAAGGTGCAAGCTGATGACGTAAACAGAACCACCATGACTTTTCAATTGATTCAAGAAAAGATGGAGATGCTCAAGCAAGTCTGGAGAGAGTTCTTGGCTGAACATGAACTCATTGGTAAAGGTTGTCGTGTTACACTATTCAGACACCCTTACATGACTGATAATATGTTTGATCAAGCATATAATCTGTTTGATCAAACCAATGACCAACTGCACTCACTCAAATCGGAACTACATTGTCGAGAAATCCAAAGATCACTCACTGCAGCAGGGATTACTCCAGCTCCATCAATATACACTCCATTCACAAGAGCTCAACTTCCTGAAATTAAGCTGAAATCGTTTGATGGTCAATACTCAACGTGGCCAGAGTTTCGTGACTTATTCAAATCACTTGTCATCGATCGACACGGACTTGCAAATGTAGAGAAACTCCATTACTTAAAATCCAGTCTGACTGGACTACCAGCTCTACTGATTAAGAACATTCCATTGAATGATGACTCATTCGAATCAGCTTGGAGAACACTCACCGAAAGATACGATGACAAGGAAAGGTTGATCTTCTCTCACATAGACAGCTTATTGACTAACTCACCAGCTCCAATAAAGACTGCTCAAGACATTGATCAACTCAGCGGCAATCTACGCCAAAATCTTGATGCACTACGAAGTCTCAACGTCCCTGTACAACATTGGGATTATATACTGATCACCATTGTGACAAAAAAGCTCGACTCATCTCTTAGGGAGGCTTGGGAAGTGAAAAGAAGCTCCTCAACTGGCACAACTCAACTAGGGGATTTAATGCGATTCTTGAATGCTAGAGCAAGAGCCCTAGAATCAGCTCATCCGTCATCCAACCAGTCCAACTCATCTACAAGTCACAACAAAGGAGCAATTCAAAAAAAATCAACTCAGCAAGCTAGATCGTCTCATCAGGCTAGCCAAAAGTCTGACTATCCATGTGATCTATGTAAAGGGAATCATTACATAGTTGCATGTGAAAAATTCAGGAAGTTAACAGAAGCAGAAAGGTTCAAAAAGGTGAAAGAGTTTTACCTTTGCTTCAATTGTCTTGGTCATCACTCACTGGCATCATGTAACTCGAAACACAAGTGCAAGACTTGTAGCAGAAATCATCACACCATGATTCATCTCGACCAGAAGCCATCTCAAGACAAACCTGCGTCCGCTCAAGCCTCAGAGTCAAAATGAGGATTAAATGTGCCATTTTGTGTACCATCAAGCTCAACTCAGACACAACCTACTGATCAATCTCAAGTGCCAGCTGTCATTCATCATCAACGTCAACTCAACCAAATTGAACACTCACCAACACGATTTGCTGTACTCTTGGCAACAGCTGAAGCACTTTTGATCACTCACCACTCAGCTACACCTGTCAGACTGCTCATTGACCCAGGGTCTGAATTAACATTCATCTCAAACAATCTGGTGTCAGCATTAAAACTCCAGAGACAACACTCAACAATTCCAATCAAAGGAATTGGAAATAAACTGACCATTTACACACTAGGTCAAACTTTAATAAAGCTCCAATCTCGTCATGACTCACAATCAGTTATTGTAAAGGCTCACATATTACGACAACTCACAACCACTCTTCCAACAATAACTGAAGAAAATCTACATTGGCCAGAACTTGAATCACTCAACTTAGCTGATCCTGACTATCTATCACCACGGTCAGTGGATATTATTGTGGGTGCTGATTATTATGGATTAATTAGCAAGCCATCACTCATCAGATGCCAAGAATCAGCATTGATCGCTCAAGAAACATTATTTGGTTGGGTAATACTTGGCCCAATACCTCACTCATCATCGTCGACTCATCATGCATCAACTCACCTGGTTGTTGAACAATCAGAGAATCAACTCAACGACTTATTGCAAAAGTTCTGGACTCAAGAAGAAATAGCTGACAGTGATACTCAACAAAATTCACCAGATGATGAATCATGTGAACTTCACTATCGAACAACTCACTCACGTGATCATACTGGAAGATACACTGTCAGAATTCCATTGAAAACATCGCCAACTCACCTTGGAGCATCATTTAACACAGCCTATAGATGCCTGAAAAGAACAATTCAACTGCTCAACAAGAACAACTCCTATGCTAGCCTTTACAAAGCATTCATGAAAGAATACGAAGATCTAGGACACATGGTGAAGGTAACATCACACTCATCAATGAAGACAGGACAACCAGTGATTGTTTCTGGTGATCTGACGACTGGGATGACCTTAGCACATGATACTCCGGTATCAGGAGGGTTGAGGGTCTCAGGAGAAGGGTCATTGGAGCATTCAGCTGGCTCTTGTGCTTCTAACTCACACTCTAATCCGTATTACCTGCCTCACCATGGTGTTCTACGTGAAGACAGTGAAACAACAAAACTCAGAGTAGTATTCAACGGATCCAGCAACTCATCAACTGGTCTCTCGGTCAATGATCTTCAGTACATTGGACCGAAAATTCAACGAGACATTGCAGACATACTCATCTGGATCAGACAGTATCGAGTTGTCTTCTCATCAGACATTACAAAAATGTATAGACAAATCAATGTTCATAAGGACGATTGGGACTTGCAACGAATCCTTTGGATTGATGATCGACTCAACGCAGTTCCATACCAGCTCACAACTGTCACCTATGGCACTCGATCCGCTCCATACCTCGCAATTCGCACTATGTTACAACTTGTCGAGGATGAGGGACAGAGATTCCCGCTAGCAAAAGATCCACTCATTAAAGGCAGATATATAGATGATATCTTTGGAGGATCTGACTCACATGAACAACTCAAAGAAATTGCATCACAGGTAATTCAACTGTGTGCTGCAGGAGGATTTCCATTAGCAAAATGGCACAGTAACTCACTCAACTTTATCCAGCACATCTCAACAAGCTCACCATCTGAAACAACTCACATATTTGAAAACAGCAGCGCAAAATTGCTAGGCCTGTCATGGATCCCAAGATCAGACACATTCAAGTTCAACTCAAAGCCACCATGCGCACGTTCCAAACTCACAAAAAGGATTATTCTATCCGAGACTGCTCAACTGTATGATCCACTTGGTTTTCTTGCTCCGTTCATAATACGAGCAAAATCACTCCTACAAGAACTTTGGCTGTCGAAAGTTTCCTGGGATGATCCAATTCCAACTCATCTTGAAACCAAGTGGAAAAACATCCGTCAAGAACTCACCTGTGTATCAGAAATTTCAATACCTCGATGGTTAAACACCCTTAGCTCATCTTCAGTTCAACTTCATGGATTTTCCGATGCTTCTCAACTAGCTATGGCTGCTGTTATCTATATACGATCGATTGGACCAGATAATAAGATACACTCAACGCTTGTTTGCTCAAAAACAAGGGTTGCTCCACTCAAGAAACTCTCAATACCACGACTAGAACTCAGTGCAGCCTTACTACTTGCAAAATTACTCAAATACGTCCACCAAATACTCGACGTAAAGCCAACTCACATTTATTTATGGACAGACTCAACAGTTACACTCACCTGGATCCAAGCTCACCCGTCTCGCTGGAAAGAATTTGTCAGAAACCGAGTGTCAGCAATTCAAGATCTGTCTCCAAATAGCGTGTGGAGACACGTACCTGGCAAAAGCAATCCAGCAGACTGTGCTTCACGTGGACTTACTATCTCCCAACTCCAGAAGCACTCACTGTGGTGGACAGGCCCACAGTGGCTCATCAAGGACGAATCAACATGGCCAACTCAAGAGTTTAAGTTTGACTCACAAGCACAAATAGAAGAGCGACCGGGGCTCTCACTCAATGTGGTATCAAATCAACCAAAATTGCATTGGGAGATGCTCTTAAAATTCTCATCACTCACGCGACTACTCAGAGTAACCGCAATTTGCTTTCGAGTTAGCCAACTCATCAAGAAGATACCACACTCAAGTCTCTATTACCCGTTAACGCCACTCGACATCGAACGGGCTAGAGTACTATGGATCAAATCAACTCAGTCTGCATATTTTAAGAATGAACTCAACATGATCAGCTCATCAAGACTACCAAAAGGACATGCCCTACTTCGACTCACTGCCTTCATTGACACTCAAGGCATTGTGCGAGTAGGTGGACGACTCACTAACTCATTGATGGAACGTGATACTATGCATCCAATCATCCTACCGCAGACTGCTCACTTGTCAAAACTCATCATCGCCGACGCTCACCAAAAAACAATGCATGGTGGAACACAAGCAACACTCACCTTCATACGGCGATCTTATTGGATTCTGGGTGGTCGGATTCCAGTTCGATCATTTATTTTTAACTGTATGAAGTGTGCTCGACAACGTGGCGAACGAGCACAGCAGCTAATGGGTCAACTACCAGCAAGCCGAGTCACCCCATCTCGACCCTTCTCCATTAGTGGCGTGGACTACGCTGGTCCTGTCACTCTGAAGTCATGGAAAGGGAGAGGCGCCAAACATCAAAAAGGATGGATGTGTGTCTTTGTTTGCTTCTCAACTTCTGCAGTTCATCTAGAACTTGTCAGTGATTATTCATCAGACTCATTTATTGCTGCTTATAGACGATTCACAGGGCGAAGAGGCATCTGCACAACACTCTACAGTGATTGCGGCACAACTTTCATTGGAGCAGATGCACAACTCAAGCGACTATTCAATCAGGGAACTCAAGAATTTTCTCATCTGCACTACTCATTGACAAATGAAGGAACAACTTGGAAGTTCAACCCGCCAGCAGCTCCTCACATGGGAGGAAAGTGGGAGGCAGCTGTAAAATCAATTAAATACCATCTCAACCGTACTGTTGGCGAAACAGCACTCACTTTTGAAGAATTCAATACTCTGCTCATCCAAATTGAAGCTATACTCAACTCACGACCTTTGCAACCACTCACAGAAGACCCTGATGATCTGTCAACACTCACTCCAGCTCATTTTTTGATTGGTGAACCACTTACAGCAATTCCAGAACCATCATTACTCACTATTCAACCATCTAGATTGACTCGATGGCAACTCTTACAACAGAAAATGCAACTGTTCTGGAAAACATGGTCTTCTCAATACCTGCAACGACAACTATCAATCTCAAAGTGGTATCACCGTTCTCACCAATTGAAGGTTGGATCTCTAGTTCTACTCACTGATGAGAGGTTCCCACCAGCTAAGTGGCCTCTTGCCAAGATCACTCAACTCATCCCAGGATCAGATGGACTCACCAGAGTAGTCAAGCTCAAGACAGCAACAACTGAACTCACCAGACCAATCACCAAACTGGCTATTCTTCCCTACTCACCTCACGATGACCAACTCAACGACGACCAATCAAGCAATGATCAGCATCAAGTTGCTGATGGCGGGGAGAATGTTGAAACTTAGTACAGTTTCAATCTCCTTGAAAACTTTGAATTTTTTCCTAATCGGGAGACAGTCATGTGGAGATACATGACTGCCCGCTCAACTACCCAATGACGACTCAGAAAGGTGACCAATCCCGGCCATACTCAACCACAGGGTGACTTGTCCGCGTCAACCAGCACTGGCGAGGTTCTTGCCCGCCTGTTGCTGCGGCAAGTCATCCTCCTGGTTCGTGTCTCGCATGCACATCGCACGTGCTTAGTGACGCTCATCGGTTCAATTCAGTTTTTAAGTGAAATACTCAATGTTTGGGCCCAAAATCAACTCATAAGTGTTTGTATCATCCTCAAGATCATTTTGATGTTTTATAAGCTCAACAAAAATCGAAGTGCCACTCTGTAACGAGAGATTATTCATCGCGCCGCGGTACCGGCATTATTCAAGTGTTGTGTCTCACTCACTCATCCTACAACCATTGCCTGGCTCATGAGACAACACATAGACAGTGCGTTAGGCGTGAAGAACTCATAATTACTAGTAAACTAAATCATAAGAGAAGAACTCATAGACTTAAATTTTTCTTCATAATACTGTGATAGTGATTATATATATATTTTTTAAGAAATATATCCGTTTTTTGTTCAATACGAAAACACGTGTTAAGAGAATCTTTTTTCACCCACTGCTGGGTGTATCGACCTACATTCATCCATCCGAAAAGATTACAGTCCACTCCCTGTCACCTTAGCGATACAAATTAATTTTAATTATTAAGTTTTCTGATCTTAATCGCAACAACTGCAATATCCGTTTCACCTGAAAAATAATAAAATTTATGATGAATATTTTAATTTTGGTATTATAATATTAGATAAGCATGCTGTTATGATTCTTACCGGTTTCTCAAGATGTATTATCTAACTCGTAGCTCAATCCTCTTGTTTGTGACGCTTCAATACCGGAAAGTACATCTTGTTGGTGATGATTTCATCCAACATTTGACCCCGAATTTGCCTCATGTCACTTTGCGTAAAGTTGAACGGTTCATCTCTTGAAATGTGCTCAGCATAAGCACAAACGAATACCCCACAGTCGTAACCATTTGATTGCCTTGGAATTCCCTGAAAAAAATGAAGTAATGATGATTTATAATATGGGATGACAGTGTGCCTCAATAATTCATAGCAAACTTACCTTGGCATGGTTCATCGTCCATGTAGTTTGATCAAGAGGTTGCCCTTCAACTGCTTCGTGCTCTCTGCATAAGTAATCCATGATAGTCTGAGAAAAAAATTACATTTATAAACATCTATAGACATTTGTTGGTAATATACAATTATTGTTTCCATGATTGAATTTATTAAATACTCACAAAAAGACATGCTTCATTTCTTCTATAAAGGCTGTCATAATAAGTGATGGACTTATTTTCAAAATTAATCACTGTCAAACACCAATGAGCACCTAGATGAATGGGAATCATCATCAATCTCTTGGAGAATATTCGAACCTATTGAAAAATAAAATGAATGTGATAAAAGCAATAATGAAAATGTTTGATAAAATGTTTATGAGTATAAAAAGCATACCTTTCTCGTCCATGATTGAATTCCTTCATATCCTCTAAGCATCAGCTGCTGGAAGAAGAAAGTGTTACAGGCGTAGATAGAAGGTGCCCCCCTTTCTGCTATCATCTCCAAATAAACATTGATAATCTGTACAAAAAAGTGAATTAAAAGCATGCATAATAATAATTTACGATGATAAAGAATTGGTAATACTCACCTGGTCATTTAACCACTCAGGAGGATAGAGAGTCTTCAAATCTCGTACATACACCGACATCTTGACCTTCGTGTGTATGAGTGTATCGTCTGGCCCCAAACAGTCCTGAAACAATAAAAGACAATTAGATTACATGAAATAACAGTACTGAGTCATGACAAATATAATTAAAGAGCTACTTCAGCTTCTTAGTAATGTTCTAACGGTTGATTTATAGTTATTTTAAGGTAAAGTTACCCTTAAATGACTTGAAGTAAACGCTACGTTTACTATGAACCTAATTGCAACTCTCATTTAACAATTGACATGAATCCATCAGGGAGAAAAGAATAAATTACCTTATAGTCATCAAGAGGTGATGTTGATATTGAATACAATTCATCAGCAATGGCATTTGCAGCAGTATCAGTTTCCTCTTGTGAGATCTTTGGAAGAGGTGGTGAACATGGTTCATCCATCTAAAAATTTAATAGAAAAAAAATATAATAACCATAAAATATAGTAAAATAGAACTTACCGTTTCTTCGTCAAAGTCATTAAAAAGAGATTTTTTACAAGAAAGGATGCTTGATACAGCTGATGACTGTTTCTCGAGTTTGGGTGTTTCTTGTGAAGCTATTTCCATCTCACGAAGCTCTGGTACTACATCCATTTCATGAACATCTTGGGACTTCGTTTCTTCATCCGGTACATCTTCCCATTCATCTTCATCATCATCATCCGTGTCAACAGATTCCTCTTCTTTAATTTTCTTATTTCTGCTATTCACTTCTTCTATAAACTAAACAAATAATAAAAGTCAGTATTAAATTAACATTTTATATCCATTTGTAGATCCATTATTTAATTTTTTTACCTTTGGATTATCCAATTGTTGAGAGCAATCCTTTAAAATTTCCGTTTCCACTTTTTTACAGCATTTACTCCACATTTCTGCATCAACAACAGCCAAGGCCTCTTTCCAGATTGTAGACAAATTACCCTCGGAGAAATCATTATCACGACCAATATGTTTATCCAGGTATCTTTTAGTTATTCCCCAAACCAACTCGATGGGATTGTAGCAGCAATGATAGGGAGGCAAACGAAGAATTTTGTGCTGAGTATTTTTCACGAGTTGATCAATTTTGTACCGGATTTTTTCTTTGTGGGCCTGACACTTTCGGAGTAGTACAGCATTGGTATCATGCTCATTATAAGGAATGCTGCGTTCTTTTAGCCATGCCATCAAATTCTTCTTCTTCCAATTAGTCGTAGGTTGTGGATTAATCTGGAATAATAATGATTACACTGATTTTAATAAACCTGTTGATTGTAAAATGTAAACAAAATAAAGAAATCATTAAAACTATTTATATAAAATGATAAGTACACGAAATAACAAAAGTAAGCGAGGTTTGCAACGATAATACATACCATTTTATTGTGATACGATGCGTTATCCATAATTATCAAGGACGGTTTCTTCAAGTTGGGCAATAGTTGCTCAGAGAACCATTTCTCGAACATGGCAGCATCCATGTCTCCATGATAGTCATCACCATCCTTCGGCTTCTTTTTTGTATTTAAAAATAATGAAGCGCCTTCAATGAAGCCATTTTCTCCTCCTGCATGGCAGATTAAATATCGGGAACCTGTTCCAGCACTCTTTATTGAACAGCTGCGGAAATCCTCGCACTGCCAATCTTTGGTTTTTCCAGTTCCCATCTGGAATGTCCACGTTTCATCCAAAAATACGACCTCGCGTTTGTTGCAACTTTGCAAATTCTCCCTATACTCTGTGAGGAATTTTAATCGTTTAAATACAATGTATGGTTGTTCAATAACATAACGCTTGCCATCTCTTTTCTCATACGAAAATCCTTTATCATGCAAGATCTTTCGTAACGTTTCCTTGCCACCATTATATGCAATCTTCTTATCTCTATTAGAAAAAGCAGAAGGAAAAAGAAAAAGAAAGAATAAACATGTCTAGCAATAGCATATAAGCAATATAGTAGTCGAAGCATGAAAAATGTAAAAAAGAACGAGAAAATCATGCTAAAACAGGGTGCAAACTTACCTAATTAAACGTACTAATTCCTCCACTGTTACATTCCTTCGTTGCTGGTAAATTTGGTAAATGAGATTACAAATATCATTCTTAACTTCTTCTGGTGCATCACGAATTGGTGCTGGATGAGGTCGAATTTTCCCTGGTGTAGAAAAGGGTTGACCAGATTCACCAATGGCTACGTATTTCGTCACACTATCTAAAGAAATATTTAGATATGTGGCAACTCTTTGTCTGTAATTTAAAAAAAATACTATCAGTGATGACTAAATGGCATGCTAACACTGAATGATTTAACTTCGATTTCTATGAAAAGAAAAAAAATGATACATGATTACCTGACATTGCTTAATGGAACTAGAAGTTCTCCAATTTCACGTTCTTTCTCCAAGGATTCATAGAGATTGCAAATTGCAGCTTGAAATTGGGAATTGAAGGATCTTCCTCTTTTATCCGTCGTGTAAATGGACCACCTTTTCAGCTTCCTCGGTTTCTTCGGTGTTACCTGTCCACGTCCCCGGCTCAAGTTGGGAAAAAAAAAAAAATTAGAATACTATCAATATATAAAGTAGAACTACAAACACGATATAAATGAATTATGATTAACAACGAAACACAGAACAACAAACACAAATGAACGAATAAAAACACCAACACTAAAAATACACAAACACAAATGTTAATAAAACTGTTCAAGTTTTAATAAAAACAACGATTTTGCACAACAATATGAAAGCGATATAAAATTATTAATGCACAATAAATCTGCAATGTAATTTTTTAGCTAATTTGGAGCCAAATGAGCAGTTATTGATAGATGTATCAATGCGCAGTTCGATATAAAATAATTGAAGAAAAACCGCCAAATTTGATTTTTAAGTAGCTTACGTCGATAACAATAAATGCTTGATTACCTATAAAAGTAATGTGCGCATGCGCGGCAGTCTTAAGGAACTATTTTTCTTTGGCGGAGTCGACTTTTCCGGAAACACCCGAAGACGACTCTTTCTCTGGTCCAACTTTAGCTAAATTCGCATTGCTTTCAGACAAAAAAAAATTTTCACCAAAAATGTCTTATAAAAATAGTGAAAAACATGACATTCTAATGAGCCATTATTGGAAGCTGAAATTATGATTGATAACTGTTTTAGCTATTTGCTATGCTATATTAGTGTATTTCTTG